CACTCAGTTGAGTAAATAAATGGTGTTGGCATCTATATGGAATGTTTCTATACTAAAGTTCTGTGAGAAATGTCTTTGCCCATGAGGTGTTCAGAGCTGTCCAATCATCCACAGAGGTTCTGCTACTCCTAAGGCAGTTGTTCTGAACTGGGAGAAACGCTGTGCTCCAGGGGACAATTTTGATTGTGCTCTAGAGGCAATTTTGATTGTCACAACCAGACAGGCTACTACTGGCATCTAGTAGATAGAAGTCTGGGAAGCTGCTAAACATCCTACAATGCACAGGACAGCTCTCCACACTGAAGACATGTCAACTCACAGTGTCAGCAGTGCCAAGTTGAGGAGACTTGCTTTAAGCTAAGCAAGCTTCATTAGTCTATTTGGACTGCTATAACAAAACACAGACTAGGTAGCTTATAAACAATGGAAATTTATTTCTCATAGTCCTAGAAGCTGGGAAATCTAAGATCCAAGCTCCATCAGGGTCACTTATCTGGTGAGGGCTATTGTCTGCTGCTTCTAAGACAGCATCTCATGTACTGTGTCCTGTCCTCCACTGGAGAGGAGCGCTGTGTCCTCACATACCAGAGGTGGAAGGGCAAAAAGGAATGAACTTACTCTGTCAAGCCCTTTTATATGGGCATTTAATCCCATTCACAGAGAGAGGAGTCCTCATGGCCTAATCACCTCTGGTAATACCTTGAATTTTAGAAATATATTTAAACCACAGCAGTATAAGTCTATTTCCCAAAACTTTCTCTCTTTTCTCTCTACTGCCTATTAGTCAATATTATTAGAAAATTATTTCTTTTGGACTGCTATATGTATCTCTACTTGTGTTTTTTTATCTTAGTCATTTCCCTTAAGATGGGCTCATGGAAATATTTTTCCTGTTGCTTCACCATCTTTCTTAAAATTTCTGCATTTCTGCATTGTGGTCCTCATCATTAATATTGAATATAAATCCTACTAAAGTACTCAATAGCACTATTTTTCATGGCTGAAGTATAATTTATTGTGATTATTGTCAATTAACAATAGTGAAAATTATACACGACTTATTTTTTTATTAATAATTAACAATGAATAAGTGAAAAATAAGAAAATTTAGGCAACAGAAAAGTAGAAAAGCATTATTCATAATCTCATCTGTTGAATACAATCATTATTAAAATTTTTCATTTAACTTCTTTTCTTTCTTTCTTTCTTTCTTTCTTTCTTTCTTTCTTTCTTTCTTTCTTTTTGAGACAAAGTCTCACTCTGTTGTCCCAGGCAAGAGTACCTTGATGTGATAGCTCACAGGAACCTCAAACTCTTGGTTTGGTTTCAAGCAATCAATCCTCTTGCCTCAGCCTTGCGAGTAGCTAGGACTACAAGTGCCCATCACAACACCAGGCTAGTTTTTCTACTTTTAGTGAAGATGGGGTCTCGCTCTTGCTCAGACTGGTCTCAAATTCCTGAGCTCAAGTAATTTGCCTGCTTTGGCCTCCCAAAGTGCTAGGATTATAGGTGCGAGCCACGGCACCTAGTCTGTTTTGATATTTAGTTTTCTTATATATTCATAAGGTTTCCTCCCACACATATGTAACAAATCTATGTGCACTTGTTATATTTTGATCTATTACTTAATTGTATAACAGAAATATTTATTCATTTTATGACATAATATGCTTTCTATTTTAGGAAGGACTTGAGGGAATTTAAGGCAAAACTTAAGGTAAAACTTTTAAAGCTAAAGAGGAAGGGCCAGTCTGATAGAAGTAGGTTCTATCTAGCACTTGTCAGATAGAATACTCACTAGGACTATGAATTTGAATTTATAGCTAAGATGAAATGGGTAACTTGTGGATATTATTATTGTTCTTCTTTTGGCAAAAGAGAATGTTCTTACTAATACTGAAAATAAAGGGCACATATTAATAAACACAGTATTTTTTTTAAGAAATTAAATTCAATATAGAAATTTATTATACACAGAAATATAGGTAGGGTGATCATGTTTTTTACCTTCTGAGCCAGGAGACTTTTGCGAATATAAGGACTCTGTTAATACTTACTGGGGGACTAGGACAGCTGAGGGAACCTGGGACTACCCTAGGGAAACTGCAAGGTATGTTTACCCCTGGTTATATGGCTGACACAGCTTTGCCCTTTCAAAGCGCAGTCCTTGAACACTTACACAGTCATACATGTTTTTCCATACGTGGTTCCTTTTCTTATAAATAACTTGTGGAAATATGGTAACATCAATCCAACATTGTGGGAAAGATTTTGCTTTACATGGATCACAATTTTGATTTGCTCCCTGGAACTATCTTTTTTGGTAAGAGTTTTTGTGTGTTTGTAAGTTTTGTTACTCTTTCCTGTTTTTTTTTAATAGTAAGTTTGTATTAGTATTCTATCTGTATATTTTTATTATTTATATTATAATCAATTTTACTTGGATGAGCTCTTTATAGGGTATTCCCTGATGGTGATGAGAGGAGGGTACGGGATGCTGAGACGAGTCTTCCAGGCTGCACAATCCTATAGCTTTCTTTGTCTTTGCTGTTACAATCTGCTTCCTAAAAATATACCTCATCTGTGCAATTTTTTAAAGTTAAATTTTATTATGTTTTAGCATAGCCTCATTTCTTCTATCATTTCAAATCAAACTGATTCCTAGAGGGCTTTTGCCACCAGCTTTATTTACCCGAGTTCTTGCCTTGATTGTAGCAAACCAGAGACAGAGTTTACTTCAGGATGAGTGTACCTTTTGTGGGGACATTCTGCCAACTACCACTATGGGGCCCTCACTACACCCTATGACTTTCTAGTTACTTCTTCAAGTGCAATGTCTGCCTTGGCTCTGTTGCTTTTGGGAGCCCTTACATAAATTTGGAATCTACAGATTATGTTTCCTAATATCACTGAAAACGAAATTACGGGATTTCATTCTTTCTCATTTTTGCTTTCATATGATTTTCAAAAGGAGAAGAAGCATTTATCCTGGGAGTCTGGTTCAGTTTTAAAGTATGATGGGCCCACCACTCTTTCAGAAAGAAGCACAGGTCAAGGGCAAAGTGAAGAACATCTGAAATTTGTTAAAGATATTTTTTCATTAGTGCACTTCTGAACAATCATAAGTTATAGGAAACTGTATGTTTTATGTTGATCTTCAGTTTTATGTTTTTAATTATGGCTTCTTCTCCCACATGCAATGTCCAGATGTCTCTGTTAGAAAACTGAGGATGTGTTTCTAAATCTAAGATAGATCATTGCTCAAACTGTACAGTCACATCAGAAACAATGAGGCAGGTGATTTGATATTCTGGCATGTTTTTTGCATATGGCTTTGCCCCTCACAGTGTCACACCATAACTATGTCCCAACCTGCTTATGCACAGACAAAGCTGTAGCACGCTGGGAAATCACTGTGGGTAACAAGTTATCTGATTCCTTTACCCTCACGGCTTTTGTGTTGCATGCACGGTACCATCTTCCTTCCATGCATTTGCTTTCAGTGCTGGCTGTTCTAAATGAGAATGTTGCAGCATGCCGTTTCCTGTCACATGAAGGTAATAAGGCTATGTAATTAAAAAGTTTAGCAACACTGACATTTCTGTGTTTGTACTAGAATTATCTTGATATTACCAGGAACTGAAGAATGCTGCCACCTGCTAGGAACATATGCATGTGTTTGAGCAAAGGTTAATGAGTGTATTCAGAAAAATGATTTAGGTGAAGGCTGGAGAGCAACTTGGTACATTCTAAAGCAACAGAGCAGTATGTTCTGAGTTAGGTCAGTTTGGGGCAAGAAAATTTGAAAGGCTTTTTGGGGGCTGGTGATTGGTGGCATAGTGGTTTGATTGATTATTTCTTTTCTTTTCTTTTTTTTATTTATTGCTTTGTTGCCCTTGGTAAGTGCCCTGGCGTCAGACTTCACAGCAACCTCAAACTCTTGGGCTCAAGGGATCCTCTTGCCTCAGCCTCCCAAATAGCTGGGACTATAGGTGTCCGCCACAATGCCTGGCCATTTTTTCAGAGATGAGGTCTCACTCTGGCTCTTGCTCAGTCTGGTCTCAACCTCATGAGCACAGGTAATCTACCCATGTTGGCTTCCCAGAATGCTAGGATTACAATTGATTGATTATTTCAATCTTAAATATAAGACACATTTCCAGCTCCACCTTGCAAGGTGTGTATCCAGATATCAATTTTGTGTCAAAATAGTTGTCCAAGGAAAAAATGTATTTTTTTAAAAAAATTTTTTTGAGACAGAGTCTCAAGCTATCACCCTGGGTAGAGTGTTGTGGTATTATAGCTCACAGCAACCTCCAACTCTTGGGCTCAAGAGAGCCTCTTGCCTCAGTTTTTCTGTTTTTTTTTTTGGTAGAAAGGAGGTCTCACTTTCACTCAGGCTGGCCTTAAACTTGTAAGCTCAAGCAGTCTACCCGCCTCAGCTTCCCAGAGTGCTAGGATTACAGGCATGAGCCACTGCACCAGCCAATGTCTCCTAATCTTAATCTCTGTCAAGTTGTTTTTGTATAGCTCAATACTATACACAAAGACAGTAGCCACTGTGTGGTTACTAGCACTATGACTTGGACTGTATTTGTTGGATATAAACATGGGTTGCTGCTGTTTAAATATATCTACCCTGCACATCACTTCTCTGTTTTCTGAAGGTTTTGCTTTAGTTAAATCTGATGGCCAAGATTTTGAGTCTTCCAAATCCCTGAGCTTTTTGGCAAAATGTTACTTTCTATTGGTTGAGGCATTTTTGTCTTTGATTTACAAAGAGCAGTGACACGCCATTGAAAACTACTCTCTGGACAAACAAGACTTCTCTCTCCAATCCAGATGGTGGCTTGACCTGAAGAAGCCCTTTCACCTCCCAGACAAACAGAGTAGTGAAACTTGCCTTTCTCTTATTCAACTTGCCTTACTTTAAGAAAGGACTTCTTAGTTAAAAATAGTCATCTTTTATTCCTTGCCTGTCAGGGCCTTTCTGCCTTCTCTCAGAAACCAGTGTTCACTGATGTTCTTTGATTGACATACTCCTCAGTACTAAAAGGGAACAGAGAATGGGAGAATGTTCCATTTCATTGACAGGAGCTGAGACCTTGTCAGGGACAATTGCTTAGCAACCTCTATGGTGCCACTTTAGGGAAAGAGGAAAGAAAAGAACAGCATTACATATAAATGGAAGAAAAGCATGTATGACAAAGGCCAACCCTTATCAAACACTGAGTATTATTTTCAACTAGGTTTTTAAGTTAGTAATGTGACTTATAAAATCTGCACAAATTATCTTTTTCTTTCCTTTGGTTGTGGAATTATGGAAGAGTTAAGATAAATTCAGGTTTTTGCCAAATACATACAGATTTGGGTAAGTGAATGGAAATTGTGTCCACAGACAGAAGACCTCAATTCCCCTGTCGATTCTGACATGCCCTGGTTATTTGACTCTGTGTGGGCCATTTAACTTTCTGAGCTTCATGGAAAAAAATTGGGAAAACCACCCTTGAAGAGGTTAAGTAAATTTATAATACATGTGGATAAGGCTTAAAAATTGTTAAGTGCTTATAAAATAAGGAGTTCTTATAATTTTGCTATATTGGGACATAATCTGTCTACTAATATGATGCACATATTAGCTGAACATATATGCTGCTTTATTAGTATAGAAAGAACACAAGCTTGCATTTGAAAGTACAGTAGAACTTCTGTTAAGTTGACCACCCAACGGACTGTGACGAACTGGTCAACATACAGAAGTGGGCAACATACGAAACGAAGCCTACTGAACTGATATGTATATGTGGTACATGTCAGGTCTACGAAAATTAGGTCAACTGAAGGAGGTGGTCAGTGTAGGGAGCTGGTCAACTATGGAGGTTCTATAGTTTTTTTTGAAGTACATTGCAAATACGATATTACCTGATCCTTAAAGTTCTGTGACAAAGACTATTTTCCCTCATTTCTAGTTAATAGATATTAACCCCATGTTTAGGCTACGGGATTTGCCCATCTATCTTCATTAATTTGCCAATAAGTTACACTGAGGGGATGAATGGAGACTTGGTCAAGTCAGCTGGCCCCAAGCTGATGGCATTTCCAATTTTATCCATTTCTTTTGCTACCACTAATTATTTTTGGAATAAGTTGATATAAACTAGTTCTTTCCAAATTATCTGTGGTGAATAACCAGTTAAAAATTTTTTCTAATCTGTAATAGGTATATGCTTTTGTCAAATACAATAAAAATGATTTATTAGAATTGGACCTAAGTCAATTTTCTGATTGGACAATGGTTAAGTAAGATATTAAGAACTGGGGAGGCTGGGTGAAGGGTAAATAGGAGCTTCCTGTACTATTTTTTTTTGGCCAGCGCTGGGTTTGAACCTGCCACTTCCGGCATATGGGCTGGCGCCTTGCTCTTTTGAGCCACAGGCGCCACCCAATCCTGTACTATTTTTGTAACTTCTTGTGAGTCTTATTTCAAAAAAGGTATTAAGAATAAGTTAGTTAAAAATTAAAATAAAAATAGATTCAAAATATAATCCCTAATTTTTTAATGATTAGCATCAACAGACATAAAATTACTCTTTGTAATTATTCAAATTGCCATATTAATTTGTAAATGCTTACTTTTAATTTTTATACTTCTTTTGCAGTAAACCAGTAAGAATCCACTGATCACACCAGTGTGAACATTAACCAAAGGAAATTTCTCTTCTGTTCAAATAAGTAGTCTTTGAAGGAACTATAACTTCTCAGTCTTAGTTTTCAAGTCTGAGAAAGAGCATCTGGTTCTCCCAAACTTTGTCTATGTTCAATCAGTTGTGGCAGAGTAAAGAAGGTAGAATCATGCTGGGGCCCAAAGTCAGAATGAGCATTCACTCTCAGAGGAACAGGATTGAAGAGAAACTCCCAGGAAGGGACCAATAAATGTCGCAACATGTGACTATTGCTATGAGTGCAAAGATAAGTCTGTCACCAATGGGAATAATTGCAGATTATTGCTCTATGCTGCCAATTACTAATATAATATGAAGTAGGAAAGAGAAACTATAGCTGTTGAGAGAAGAGAAAACTTCCACATGGGACAATTATAGAAAGTTTCTTAGAGTAAGTAGCATCTCAGTGGCTTAAATAACTCCAAAAGTAAGTGTGGGGAGAAGTCATTACTGGCTTTTGATCAGATTGCTGTTTCAGGAAAATCAATCCTTTAGTGGCGAAAAGGATAGATTAGAGGTAAGGAATGGTGATGCTGGGGTCAGGGAAGATAGCTATAAAGCTGGCACACGGGAAGGAGTGTAAACACTTGAAATGATGGCTAGAGAATGAAGAAGAAAACAGATGCAAGAGAAATTTCAGATGTGAAATGGTGTATGACAACTGATTCATTGTGAGACATTAGAGACTCAAGAAAAGAAAGACATTTGAGAGGAATCAGTTTCAGTTACGCTTCTTTTGGGAGACTGGTGTTGGTTTAGGTGGTGATTTCCTCAGGCAATTGCAAGAATGGATTTCAACATCAGGTGTATGTGTTCGCCAACTTGGAACCTTGACTAGGGTCCCTCAAAAAGATTGTCCCAGTCCTGACCCTTAGTAACTGTGAATCTGACCTTTTTGAAAATAGAGTCTTTTAAGATGGAATTAAGTTTAGAAGTTTAGCATCTCTCCAGATGTGAACATTCCAGATTTAGTGTGGGCCCTAAGCCAATGACCAGTATCTTTGTAAGAGAAAGGAGAGGGCAATTTGACACTGAGACACACAGAGAAGGCCATGTGAAGACAGCAATGCTGACACCAGCCAAGGAATACCAGGAGTCCCCAGAAACTGGACTAGGCAAGGAAAGATTCTCCCCAAGAGCCGTTGGAGGGAGCATGGTCTTACTGACACTTTAATTTCAGACTTCAGGCCTCCTGAAGTATGAGAGAATAAATATGTGTTATTTTAAGCCATCCAGTTTGTGGTAACTTGTTATGGCAGCCCTAGGAAGCTAATTCAGAACCTCTTTTGAGAGCTCAGTGTATATTTTTTGGAACGATGTTGTTCTTGTATGGTGAGGTAGAGGGAAAATGAAGCTTTTTATTCATCTTTATAGAGTCTTATTTCTGGGTGTTTTCAAAGGGTAGCTTTTCTTGCAAGTCAGCAAAGGTGAAAATGAAACGGTTCGGAAGAATGAAGTTTAAGACACCTTAGTGAGTGGGAAAGTGATGAATTACAAATTGAATCATCCTCCTCATTTAGTTATTTCCTCCTTTCCTCTTCTCAGTTTCTTTCTCCTCGTCTTCCTTTTCCACCTCCTCATTCTTCTCTGTATATTGGAATTCGTATGCTATTAAAAGAAGACATATTACACACAATTTATTAGTTTTACACTTATTTTTCCATTTTTAACCTCCAATCAGAAGTTAACACCCTGGAAAAACCAGCGTTATGATATTCAAAGGTAACCGGAGCCCAAACATGGTTATCCAGTGTTATTCTGGTTAAACATGTGGCTTTTTTTCTTGGACTTTTTGAAGCCCTGAAATGTAACTTTCAGACCCCTCCACCCTCATTGGTGCTGTCAATTATTGTCTTAGAGCAGGGATTTTGTATAATCTATTGCTTATCACAGGCACTGGCACAGAGAAATTTGCCATGTTAAGTTTTTTTGACCTAAAATGTTGTCCTGAGAATTATATTTAGTGGCCTAATACTACAGAGTTGTCAAAGTGACTTTTCCCCATAAATGTGGATGTGTTTCAGGCTTTCCTGAACTTAGGAAGTCATCATGTTTTTGCGTGTCAGTAAGCATGCTCTCTTGGTAGTACATGCCTGGAGTCCCAGCTTCTCAGGAGGCTGAGGCCAAAGGATCAGTTGAGCCCAGGAGTTTGAGGTTGCTGTGAGCTATGATACAAGGGCATTCCAGCCTGGGCAACAGAGTGAAACTCTGTCTCACAAAAAGAAGAGTGCTCTTTATTATAAGTGTCAAAGAACTCAAGTCAACCCAGCTTAAACAAAGGGAATTAATTAATTTATTGGCTCACACAATAGAATTTTCATAAGTATTGAGTTTAGGTGAGGGTTGATCAAGCTGCTTAATGTTGCCAAGAAGGAATCAGTTTTGTTCTATTTTCCTACTTTCCATTCTACAATGTCAGCTTTATCCTAAGATGGGCTCCCTCTGAGGCTCCAAAAAAGTTGCTAACAAGAAAGAAAACTACCTACTTATTTGTTAATAACTCTGGGAGTGGAGAATACCTCTACCTAAGGTGTCAAACAAAAACCCTGAACTTTTCTCTGATTAGACCAGTTAGGTCTTATGTCTTCCTTTGAACCAGTCACTGTGGCATTGAGTTATAATTACTCTATAAGAAAGGCCCCATAGCCTGACCTCTAAGGCTACCTGTGTGACTGAGTGCCATTTTGGTTCAACAGCCCTTAGTTAAAAAATTCTCTAGACCAGGCTATGTTAGCCTGGGAAGGCTGAGAATGATCAGTAGAACCATTTTTTTATGTGTCCAAGTCTATTTTACTGGGCCACCTTCTTTAGTTATATATTATATAAGCTTAAAAGTGATGGTATGCAACTGAAATGAATGAGGAAGTCCTAACACTTGCTCATACTAGCTAACCTACAGAGAAGTTCCAGTCTTATTAACGGAGAGGGACAGTTGAGTATCTAGAAGGTCAAGCTCATTGCAACTTGGATCTGTTGTTAAGAATGCTTGTGACCTGGAAGCTTTTAACTCCTTTGGAGAGTATTGTTAACTTCTCTGCTATATATTTTTGCTACCTTGACGTTCTTCTGTACTTTTTTGATTAGTAAACCTTCTCTGATATGTCCAAGCCAGGATCAATGTTTGTTCATTCATCAGAGAAATAGGACCAATAGGATGTGTGTGTGTGTGTGTGTGTGTGTGTTTTCATTATAATGAACTGGCTCACATGATTATGGAGGCTGAAAAGTCCAGAGCTGATGGTATAGATCAGGGGTCCTCAAACTTTTTAAACAGGGGGTTAGTTCACTGTCCCTCAGACTGTTGGAGAGCTGGACTGCGGGTGAGTT